TCGACATCGACGTCTGGAGGCGACGAAGAAGGGATCTTTTCTGAAAAAAGGATTCCTGGCCTAATGAAATGCACTTGCGCTTTTATTGCGACAAAAAGACAAGCATGTCCAGAGTTCAAAAACATTACACCTGCGCGGAAATGTGTTGCGCTTTGAAAAAATCGAGGACATTGGTTTGATGTTCTGATTTTGTTTCCAAAAATGAGAGACGATGATGGAATTTTTTATCAATTTTATTAGAAAATTTTAGAGATTTCGAGTTAGTGTGGTATTTTTGTTTGAGCTCAATTCACTGCTTTAACTCGGTTACAGAGCTGCAAAAAATCATAAGTCCAGAGAAGAGCATAACAATACCGGAAAACCTCTCACTCACGTAGTTCACGGAGCATATTCCTCTCATATCAGGTGAATAACAGGTTTCGCCTGTCTCCTAGGGCCGAACGGCCCGAAGGACCCTAAGCATAGCAACCCTTCCGTTTAAATTGAAATGCGTTCAATTCTTCCGTGAAGAACTGACCATCATGGTCCTGAGTGGTCCAGTTAGTAAACGCCCTGGTCCAACGGGCATCACAATATCTCGTTACGTGTACGGCATACCTGAACTTCGATTCCTTAGCGTCTTTAATCTTTTTTGACGGAGCTTTGAACATCGGATTCTCTTCTGCATTGGCGTGCATAGAAAAATTCTGAGCATCGTTCATTCCACTGCGCGTTGAACGACTGAAGACTGAGTGTTGATTCTTCTTCAATACACTTCAGTTTTCCAAGGGGTATTTCGAAGCGTGATGAACCGCAATGTCGGAAAGGTGAGTGTAGAGTAATTTATATTCTTCAACACTCCCCCGATATTTTTGATACGCGCGTTCCCTTCTGTTCAGCTCCTGAGCTAGATCGTTCATCATGCTGACTTCTCGCCATCGATACACATTACTTGAATTTTAGGAAACTTTTTCTATTAAGCGTAAAAGGAGTATCAATTAAGCGTAAAAGGAACACCAAGTAACAATCCCTTTCTTGTGTAGAATGTCTTGGCGAGATTCAGTCGTGAGCCGATATTTCCGAAGTAGTAATGTAGAATTTAGCCAACACTCGTCGTGACTGGACGATGCAGTGTATTAGTATAAGCGCGACGGTGTGTGCAGAGCGGAGATAATGTAAGAAGTGTCCGTCCTCATTTCATGTCTTCTCATTCCAGATGACGCATGATGTTGTCGCAAGTGGCAATAAGAAATTGCTGGTAAGAAGTAAAACATGACACGCTCTTCCCACGTTGATGACGACATTGACATTCTCTAAATTTATGAACGTCAGACGTAACATCGCCTTGTGCTTTAACGAAACCTAAAGACTTCGGTTGTGTGCATGTGATCGATTGTACCCAACCCTCTCCAGAACCCCGCTAGCTCGTATAGCTGTCCTTCTTCCAGTAACGGCCAAGCCCATTGAGGATGACTTGTGTGAAAAGTTTATGATAACAGAAAGCAGGCTGGTGGACATAGGCAATATCGTCTGCATCTTCTTAATCATACAGCGGTACAGCCTTGCTAGTTTGTTTCGATTCCGATAGGTACCACTAGAAGAGCCTAGCTAGAGCTGTTGGGAGGCTTTTCGATGCCCGGGTAGAGGAATTTGCCCAAGAATTCCCGCAGACTGCGGCAGTGGTTCCGCAGCGACTCTCCGTATCCTTCCATTGGGAATTCAAATCTTTCGACAACGACATACGCGTCCTGATAAAATGGTAGATAGGCAGTTAAGCGTGGCTGCCGAAGAAATCCGAGTAGAGCTTAGGATGACCTTCTCCATTGCAATTCGAGATGCAGTAACAGTAACTGATGGGTCAGAGCGACGAAGGCAAGTCATCTTGGCCTGTGATCGCGAATGTCGGAATCGAGTTTCCGAACTTGGCCGCTTTCCCCATGACCGCTGCCTTTCCTTCCTTCAGTTCTTCCCTTACGTTTCTCTGCATAGCTTTGCCGTTCGGACGCCAGTTGATGATTTCTTGTGGCGAGCGCGATTCTACGCTGGCATATCAACTCCAATTTCTTCTAGGAAAGACGTCTCTTGGTGACCTGCAGATTTTCAGACGCACGCATTGAGAAACAGGATCCAATGGTACGATCCCACGTAAAACTTTGCAATAAAAGCGGTTGAAGTCACGGCAGTGACCTTGAAATAGGGTTGAGCCACATCTTCTCAATCGCAAAGTCCGATTCGGATTGCCAGGCTTTCGTCCGGATTTGTGTTCATGGCAAAGTACACAATGATAAAGAACCTAGAAAGCCGACGCCTTTGCTGTTGCTCGTTCCATGGATCCGTTATTTTTCACAATCGAAAACGACGTGTACGAACCATGCTGTCTCGTCTCGGTCACTCCGATGAAGTCGTACTTGAACTTCCAGACTTGTATGATGAGTGTGCAGATCGTCAATTTAGTTCTTCTCCTTTTGAGCAGCCTGTTATGGCTCTGAAATCTTAGCATCGTCTCCTAGGCAGCTGAGCAGTCCTGCCCAACGTGTCCGTATTGAGGGGTCCTTTAGGTTAGGGGAATAAGTCTCATTCATATTACTGTTTTCAGCATATGGATATCCATGAGTAGCTTGTCGGACCTGAGGTGGGGGCTGCGTAGACTCCGGGTGGGTAAACAGGTCAGCCCAAAGCGGGCAAGAGAAATAGCTGTATGAGGCGGCTCGAATCCCTTCCCGAATATTTCACAGCCACTCAAACGCGAGCCTTGGCCTGAGCCGCTGCAGAGTACAAGCCGCACCCACAGAGGAGACAGAAGGCGTAAACTGACCCGACGAAGCAGAATAAGAATCGCCAGATCCATGCGTCGTGCATCTTGGAGCAAGACAGGCGACTTTAGTTCCGCGAATTACTCATTTATTCGGCACTTGCGTTGGGCCATGAAGCTTCGTCACCAACCGGCTAGAGATTCTTCCGTAAGGAGATTGGTGGAGAAAACGTATCGTCAAGTTTCATAGTGATCTAGATTCTACCAGGGACCCTCTGGAAGCTTTCGTAGAGATACTTATATGGACATCTTTCACTTGCTTGCGCATAGCATATTAGGGGATTCCATGACATTGCAATCGGTTGATCAGTTTCTACCTGCTACCCTTATAATGAAATTCATAACCTTACTTGAAGTATAAATCTTTAATCCAGCTGAAACTCAACACTCAATTGATTTGACATCGTACTACTCTGTTTACCATTCGCTGCCATTGAACACATCAAGGAAAATTGGCATTTTCACTCATTCGATGTCTGATAAATATCGAAACACTTTCCCATGCTTTGTCCTGTCTTTTGGAGGGATTCCCTTCAGATCCCCGAGTAACGCTGGATCTCATTTTGAGGTGTTTTTTTTCCTTAATCCGTGATCGCATTCCGGTACACCGAAACAGCACAGAAGTGGTAAAACCTACTGGACCATGACTTCGTGTTCCTCGATGTTCTGCTAAGGTCTGGGTCGATTTGGCGTCCTTTTCCGTGTCCCTAAAAGACGAAAGTTTCTCAAATCAGCTGCACCGGTGCATGGAAATATAGCGAAACACAAACATTTCTTCTGATAATCAAGATAAGTTGAAAGGAACCTTCCTATAACAAACTGGCAATAAGACTCGCAGGCTAAGTTTTACCTACGGCGAATAAGTGAATAAGGATGTCAAGATTTTCCATTTGGACTTTTCGAACTATTCATAAGGTTATAAGCTGCTTTTTAATAAAATTTCAAGGCAGCGATAGACATTATACAAGTATCTGCTGGATGATACACACACAAGACGGATTTTAGAGCCCCGTGAATGTGTTTTACAGAAACCCGATGACACACTGGCTGCTTTCATAGTCCGCGATTTGGCGTGCGAGGGCGCGAGACAGCGAGCGCGCCGGCCGGGCACTACTAGGCCGGCAGTATCGACAAAAATTCAGTTGTAAACAAGGAGCAAGCACCGCCTCCCGCTTCGCTCGCGCGCTTGCGGGCCAAATCGCGGATTATGAAAGCAGCTATTTAAACGCCTTCAAACACTCGTCATATATACGACGCAAAAAAGGTGCTCAAGGCGAGGCTTATGGGTGCGCGGTCGGCATCGTCAAAATCTGAATCGCAAGAAAACAGGTATAATTTACTTCAGCGAAATTCATTAGTTTAGTGCAGAAGCAATAGTCAAGAGACTTCGATCGAGAGCAAACGTGAAGGTGTAGCTGTTCATTCGTAAATTGCATAAATCGTAGTAGACGTTCTGCTTCAATCCATTGACGACAGCGCGCGTTTTGAGTTCCTTCGCCGAGTTCGGGACAGTTCGGGACATGAGCGTTTTTGGGAATTCGACAAAATATGACATGCATGCGCCTCAAGTTGTCCCCCAAGGTGTATTTTTGGACGACAAAGTGAAGGAAAACAAAACAAGCGCATTATGTTGGGTAAAGAAAAAACAGCTGCTAACGGAATGCTTTGCTAATCTGCTTTCTTTCACCGATGTATGATAGAAACATGCGAAAGCGAGTCAAAAGTAGGACATGACTACCTGGAAGACTGTAGCCATTTGAGGGAGGGTGGAGTGGGAAGAAAAAGGATAAAGTTTCTGGGCATCAATCAATCCCGTCTGAGGAATGCGCCTCGGATTGGACTTCCGTTCAAGATCGCAGTGGTGCACTGAAGCACGGTGACCTCGAAGCTAATCGCTGAAGCACGAACTGTCTGGAAATGTAAGGAAGTTCTACCACCTGGTCTCTACATTGGAGTGCAGTATCGGAGTTTTGTAGAAGAAAACTGCCGAATAGTGGCTAAAAGTCAGAGAAGGTGGCGTGGTGATGTATCGTGGCGAAAAGATCCAAAGCTGTGTAAGCTGATTAATAAGGCTCAATACTCCAAAAACTACTCCACTAGAACCCCGATCACAAGTAGGCAGGCGTGCAGCATTTCACTTATCGTCTGGTTGTGCCATGGGCTACTTCTAGCCTACATAGCAGTGCTGTCGCGTCCCTTCTCCAGAACCCTAGAGTGCAGCCATGTAGTAGCGTTTCCTCATCTCAAACTCCCTAATTCTCTGAAATCAGCAGCATTTTCTACATAGGTCCCTGTAAGTTACTGTGAACATTATTCATACGACTATGCTTCTACTCGAACAGAAGTGAGGAAGCTCGTTCTCTCTTTTCTCCAGCGAGAATCGGAGCGGGCGTTCGACGGCCTCCAATACTGTTGTGCAGTCGATTTCACTGTCGATACTCTTCCCGAATAGGGCAGGGCACGAGTTCTCGAGGGAGATTAAAATAGGTCACAACACGTGTTGGGTAATGCACATGAGCAGTCCTTTGAGCCTTGGCAACACTGGTTTCAGGTCAACTTATCCGGAAGGTTTCTTTTTTTTAAAAGCAAGATCGCATCTCACTGCAATAATTTCAGCCATGCAATCATTATTCGAAGCCTGGAAATGCGGTCATACTCACCCTGCGACGTCTTCCTCTTCGTTTTCTTTCGACTGCTCCGTCAATGGGGCTCATGCCGTCGCGATAATCGCCAATAAACGAAACCGAATCAGAGATTGCAACGTCCTAGAAAAGCAATAATGTCAATGAATCGGAAGGAAGTTGCCATGAACGTCACTACGATCAAATTCGAGAGCATATCCGGTATGAGGTCAAACGAGTATGAGACCCTTGGGACAATTGTTTCCAAGGCGAGGCTCCAGTGAAAACCGAAGTCATTGCGTTGCGTGAAATCTTGATAGTTTGGTGATCTTCCCTGTGAAATAGGTATCAAAACGGACCTTGACCTCTTTCGATAGGCGTGCGAGTTCCTTGAGAGCCTCCTCGAGCTCGTTTATGTCAGGACTGATGGAGGATGATGCAGAAGGAGGCTCTTTTGCCGCTGAAACAACTATGGGCATTTGAATTGTGAAGAAAATCACTATCAACTGGACCCAAAGAACACTTGGCCGAGAGCGCCCAGTGCAAAGAATGAGTTCATGTCGTATATAAGGCTCCCAAATGAAAAACTCCAGCTCCAGAGCTTGAATAGAGAGCTTGGACTTCTAGCTCCTCAACATAAAATAATTATACGCTCTTTCAAGTTGGGTTACAGACGAAGGACCAAGCTAGTGAACATGATTTGAAGTGCTCCTCGATAGAATTTTGTTTTGAGAAACATCTAGGTCAAAAAGTCAAAAAAAAAAGCTTCAAAGAGGATCTAGGTCGTTTGTGCTTCTTCGAGATAATCGAAAAGCGCGGTCGGAAGGGTACGTCTGTACTAAGAGGTGAGATTAGGTGTCATGGAACATTACTGAGTGTCTTACAGATCACTGAACGCGGTGAGAGGTCCGGTACCTCAGTATCGAGAAAGGTTTAGTAAAATGATCTATGCTTTTATTGATATTTCTCACCCCTTGTCTAGCAATGAGATGGCTTCCGGCCATGGAGACGAACTTTTCCATGAAACTGGAAGCTCCCCCAGCTGAGTTAAGAGCCCACTCGTACAGTTTCATTGTATGACCCACTTAGACCACTAAGCAGGGTCACGGTAATGTAAGGGATAGAGCCCGGTGCCCGGAAAGCACAAGTACGGGTTCGAGTCCGTCCGAGATTGACGTTTTGTCCATAAATCGCCAACCTTGTGAGACTTTCGCATCGCGCACTGCGGCGTAAAAAAATTAGTACTTAACAAAACATCAAGTCAAAACGAATTATCAGTTGTTTTCAGAAAATGTAGTTTCGCGTAGCTAGTTATCTCCTGACTCATGTCCTACACTATCATTGGCAGTACCTTTTTCTGCAGCAACCACAAATTCGCGTTCTGGTCGACTTTGCAAACCACCTTTCACACTCTCGTTCTTCTCGCTGAACTTCCGCCGATCTCCATACGCCTGAAATCATTTGTTCTTTAGAGAACAGAGGTGCGAAGGAATTGAAGTGACTGACCTCCGCGCCTCGAGACACCACCGTGATGGCCTCGTCAGAGAGCTGGAGTGGAGTCTTTTTGGGCTCAAGACTGACTTTCGCGCCTCGAGACACCACCGTGATGGTTTCGTCGGAGAGCTCGAATGGTGTCTTGTTGGGCTCATGACTCTGTAATGAGAGTAACAACGCCGCATTTTCAGGTACAATGACAGCCAGTATCACCTCAATAAGTAAAAAGCATCGCATTGCTTTTAAGACACAGAGAACCAGTGAGCATAAAATGCGTAATGTCGGACCTGAAGGCCCCTGGACTCAAGACATCAAAGATTATTGCACCGTTCAATTGCTTCTTGGAGAGAAAAATTGAAAGCAATACAGGGACAGTCGAAGTGCAGGCGCAAAGCTCATTACGGGGTGATAAACACTCAAGTTCGACTCTCAATGATTCTTGGCATGGCTTTGAATGAACCTCATAGGACTTCTTATAAAAGCTGCGGCCAATGTGATCATTTCGGCTTTTTCGCCTTCGTCAGAGACTGGAAACTTGAAGATGGTCGTTGTCCATCCCTCATTCAACAGCTAAGCGTCGTAAAAAGTAACCCTACNGCAGTCGATTTCACTGTCGATACTCTTCCCGAATAGGGGAGGGCACGAGTTCTCGAGGGAGATTAAAATAGGTTACAACACGTGTTGGGTAATGCACGTGAGCAGTCCTTTGAGCCTTGGCAACACTGGTTTCAGGNTAGAGGACAACCGGACTGGGTTCAGGAAAACTTTCTTCGAAGTTTTATTTGCTGAGTGAGGGACGAATGACAACTATCTTCAAGTTTCCAGACTGACAAAGGCGATAAAGCCGAAATGTACGTCGAAAAAGAGTTTCTCTATCATACTGATCGCAGGTTTTATAAAGTTTTTGAGATTCAGGCGGTGAACACCGTTACATATCAAGAATACTCAACAGTAATTATCAGACCAACCTCGTAGGAGCGAGAAAGCTAAGGAGGGGCTTTATAAAAGGAGGTGCCTGATAAAATATAAAGTCGAATTGAAAAGCTGATGAATATATCTAAAGGCACAGTTCACACTAAGAATGGTTTCTGAGACTTCCTCATAGTATGAATCCGAGGCTACTCCTTAGACCTTACCTGCAGTTATAAGGTCGAAAAACGTCCTGGATAGGGCACAATAAGGGGCCAGAGATTGTACCGTGTGGAGGCCACTACAGGTGGACGATTTTCGGCAGCTTTGTGGAGGCTGCACTATCTCGAGAAGCTCCCATGTACTTCAAACAATTTGTCATGACCCATGGCGACAGTAAAAGGCAATCTCGGACAATTTCGGCTTGGTGTAGTTATTTCTGTGCGCAATGGGAGCAAGTTAAATCTCGTCCGAACATCCCTTTCTGCCATTCCAATCACGGTGATCTCGTACAATCCCCGCTTCACAACGCTCAAAAAACCTTCGAGTAGGCGGATTTTCTCGCTTTCTTCGCCATCGATGTACTCCTTTACATCAACACTTCCACTTTACAATCTGAAAAGGGTACCTCAAAATTACCGTGCCTCTAAGTTGATGCAATATCTGGGAAAGGGATTGGAAAGTGGACTCATTGTCAGGGAAACTCAGGACGTCAGAAACGAAAAATTTCCCTGAGGATTTCTGGAGTTGAATCCGATAAGGGACCAGAACCTCTGAAGAGCCTAACATTACGGAAGGCAGAATGAAAGACAGCAAAGTTGTTATTCCCTACACTGTAACGTTCCAGCTGTTATGGTAACATGTTGGTGTGAACGTGAATAAGGCAAAGGTGGTGGCGGAACGGCAAGAAAAGTAAAAACAGCCGGTTGAGCATGCACCAAGTTCCTGGTGAAGTAAGGTACTCTTGTCTACGGTACACTGCCAGACAAGTAGGCTTCCACAGATCCTACTCTCTGATAGCTCTTACGCTTGATACCACGCTTATGTGTTGAATATCCTCCTAAGTTTTCTTTCTGGTAATCCGTTCATCCCTCAAGGAGTGGAAAGGTGCGGTGATCAATCTTAAGCAGAATAAGCGGTTCTGATGCAAGGATGGCAAAAGAGAAGAGTATATGGAGACGTGAAGGAAGATTAGGTGGATGGAATCCATTCCTTACCACACGAGCGTTCTGCGCTCTATTGAAAAAGGCCATACCTCTGCTGTTCCTTGCGCAATCCATAACTGGAAACCTTTGACGAACTGATTGGAAATTTGGAGGCTGGCGTACATGCCGACTTACCATGTATGAAATAATGCGGCCAATTAAGGTAATAGATAGAATTAGTTTTACCTTTTCATTAACTGTCGCGTTGGGAATCTTCCTCTCAATCTCATAACCCCTAGTGATGGGATGAGGAGCTGAAATAAACAACTAACATAATAAAGAAAAGTCTGATACTCCTTTTCGAAAGAAGGCTTCTTACCAGCAATTATTATAGACGGAACCTTACTTTCTCTATTATTCTATAACTTCGACCTTGACGCAATAGCGACCGCGCCTTTTCAGCGTGTCTGGCTTGGGGGTCCTAGCGCGCTCTTCGCCGGCTGTTGCTGTGGCCCGCAGGCGGGCTACACGATCCGAGCAGCGACCTAATTTCTTACGCACCCATTCTTGGGGTTAAAATTCCATCAAAATGTCACATAAGAAGTGATAAGTTAAGCGCAAATGTACGTACCACATTGTGAGTGACCTACCACTTTCACGTGACACTTTGATGGAACTTTATTTCAGAGAAAGAGTGCGTAAAAAATTATCCGCCGTCACTCTGCTGATCCTTACAGAAAATAGGGAAGTGCTCAACTCATCTCTGAACACGGCTTGTGGGATCCAGACCCAACAAATATCATAAAGCTTCGTCCAGTCATGAGGGACGAATTTTGTCCTCAGATCTTTGATGGANTGATTAGAGGCAGATAGCATTGTTAAGCTAAACCTCGTAGAGCCCTTGCTTCAGTGAGTTTCGGCAAGCCTCCCTCTTCAAAAATAATTCAATAATTTACAAATTGGAAGGAAAGCCTGAAATAGAGCTCGGGAAGATGCACTGTTACACACATGGAATATCCGAGGAAGAAGGTCGTGCATATGAGTCATGGCAACAGGTCTGACCAAAGTGCACCGAGATATACTGCAATGATTTTCGTACATGAAGATAAGAAGAGCTATGAGCGTAGTTTTTCGAAAATGGTGTTGTCATCTATTCACAACATTATCAAACATCATTCAAGGTTTGCGTGATCAACCAGGTTGCCCAATCAAGGGAAACCTGTGGGTCATTAGAACCAATAAAGGGAAGGGTTGAATTTCCAATAATACCTTACTGCTATGATTGAGATCAACATAGAGATTTTGCAAGCGTCAGCGATAAGCGTATGCAGCACTGCCGTTACTCCTGACTGGGGTTCTCCTTCAGAAATTATAGTCCACAAGGAGTCAAGAAAAAGGAAGAAGAGTCGTTATCTGAGTAAAAACATGTAGTCAAGTTGGAATAAGTGAGAAATGACTATGTCACTCAAACGCACCGATCTTAAGTAGGACTTCGCTCTTAGAGAGCGGAACGCGCACGAAATGATCGGTGTGTGTATTTGTGTGTGCGTGTGTATGTGTATTTGGGGTTTGTAATAGCCCCCGTTCCCCTAAACTGAACCTTTCAAATTCTGAAGAATGCACAAGAACTTCAAAACGAGAAGGAGGAGAGCCTGGAGTCAACCGGGTGATCCCACCGCTCATTCACAATGAAGCGCTTGGTCGCCGACGAATAGCACGCGTGTATGCGAGATACCAGACGGGACGACGACGCCTTTGAACGGGACCTCAAATCACACTTCTTCTCCTTGTTTGCTCTAGTCTGCACGAAATTATTCGTTTTTTTCTAAACTAGATACTGCTACGCTGATGTAACATTTTAGGAAATGAACACTGTTCCCGTTTCACACTGCGAGGACTTTTCTTTTTTGACTTTGAATTTTGGTCATTAAATGCAAATTCACATTTGCATACAACACACTTGAAAGCAAAGTTCACGATAAAAAGGTTTCTGAGATTCCTCTATAGTATGAATTCGAGGCTCCTCTTTATACCATACCTAACGTTATAAGGTCGAAAAAAGTCCTGGATAGGACAAAATAAGGGGCCAGAGATGATTGTATCGTGTGGATACCACACCAATAGTGGACGAGTTTCAAAGGCTCTAAAGAGGCTGCACTATCCCAAGAGACTCCCATGTAGGAAGTTGAAACAACCTGTCATAACCCATGGCGTCAGTAAAAGACAGTTTCAGACAATTTCGGCCTGATGTAGTCATCTCTTCGAGCAATGGGAGCAAGTTAAATCTCGTCCAAACACCCCTTCATGCCATTACCGTTACGGTGATCTCGTACAACCTCAATTCCACTACTTTTGAAAANTCCTGAAGTAGGCGGATCTTCCCGCTTTTTTCGCCACCGATGTACTCCTCTACTCAAGTAGTACTAGAACTTACTGGAAAAAAATGCCCTAAAATATAAGCTTCCTGGAATTTATAAGTGGATGAAATATTACAAGGGACAATGCACAACCGCCGCATAATGGTATTCTGTCCCGCCTTGGCTCCTACTCCTATTAGTCACCTCTGTGCGGTGTCATGACCAATAGCTATGCAAATTCTTTACGAGCTCCTCTGTTGAGGGAGATTCTCATGGAGTTGGAATGATTTCTAGCAGCCATCGGACATTTGCATACTCTTCTCGGGGTCCGGAATCTTCTCCATGAAAGCGGTGTCGCGCACGCCGCACCCGCCGCGTATCGCAGAATTGCGATGGATTTGTGAGGTGGGGAGTCCCTTAATTATTTGTCTTGGCTAGCCGCTCCCTTCAATTCCAATGCGTTCTTGATTGTCGCTAATATAGGAGGAGCAGTTCTAATTAACAACGACTAGTAAACATCCTTACTTTATATAAAGCGCTCGCGTCTGTCTGTCCGTCCGTCTGTCTGTCTGTCTGTCTGTTTGTACGGAAATTCATAACTCCTGTCCCCGTGGACCTGGGACGTTCAAATTTGGTAGAAGCACAGGCGGCAGGATGGGAACACATATGGTGGGTGGCAGGACCGGACTTCGTCCACAGGAGCCGGGGTTTGTGCGAAATAAATGTTTCAGCGGAAAATCATAACTCCTGTCTCTGTCAATCTAGAAAGTTCAACTTTGGTAGGAGTACCCAAGGCAGAGGGAACAAATATGATGGGTGGCAGACCGGACTCTGCCCACAGTGGGCAGGGCTTGCGCGAAATAAATGTTTGAGTGGAAAATAATAACTCTTGTCCCTGGGAACCCAAAAAGTTCAAGTTTGGTAGGAGTACCCAAGCCAGGATGGAAACACTTATGGTAGGTGGAAGGACCGGACCCCGTCCATAGAAGGCGAGGTGTGCGCGAATCGGCTCTAGGGCGCTCAAACTTGATAGGAAGACAGGCGGCAGTATGCGAAAACTTATGGCGGGTATTAATACCAGACTCCGCCTACTGGGGGGCGGAGTTTGTGCGAAATAAATGTCTGAGCGGAAACCCATTACTCCTGATCCCGCAGACTTGGAGAGCAAAACCAATAGGAGTAGAGGGGGCAGGACGGTAACAATGACGGTAGAGGAGGTCTTAGAGAGCAAGATCCAATCACCAATCGAATCCCAGTGCCTCTGTTTACGATTTAGCTTTGATTCTCTGATATGTTTCATTCGACAAGAAGGGTAAGTGCACTGATAGGGACCGATTATGAAATTTGGTTCACTTCTTGCTTACGACCGCTACCCAGCGAAGTTTGCGATTAAAGGCACAGCTCACGTTAATTTTGGGGTATCCGGTTTTTTGGCGAAATTTGACAAAAAATGTTAGATACGGCCTACAATAGTACAATGGTAATAAAGAAAACGCGAAAAAAGATGAATATAAAGAAATAGACAGCTACAAAATACAAGGGAAAAGGGGGGTCGGACGAGCTAAATGGCGAAAAAACGGCGACAAGAGTTTTTCGGGCGAGTCAGACAAACGCGGCGCAGTGTCTGCCATTGCACACAACACACCAACAGCTGATTTTGGCTTATTCATTGAAACTAATTCTCCTACCGCTATTAATCTGATTTATTATGCAGTATCAATTCCGACCTTTTGACGACGGCTGAGAAAAATTAATTAGAATAGAAAAGCGTAGAATATAGTCGAATACTAGAGAAACAGCCGAATAGTAGTCCCAATACGAGGCGGTCGACCAGCTGACCGTCTGTGGGCAAATTGCCAACCAGCCTATCGATTTTTCACTAATGTTGCTCCAATGCGAAAGTGGTGAAGGACAATTTGAACTCGTAGTCAACCTAGCGAGGGGCGGAGGCCTGACGTCCCCCTTTGTTCCTGCCCTTATTGTGCCTATCCAGACCGTTTTCCGACCTCATTCCTGCACAAATGGTATCAGAGGGGGCTTCT